AGAGTGTGATAGTACGTCCCAAAAGGGGCGAATATCTAGAAAAGAAGAGGAAGAAGATATATAATCTCGATATTTCGTCAGAATTGCTTGCTGATTCAAGCATTGTCAGCTTTTCCGTTTCTCAGCATCGTGCATCGATAGTTTCTTTTTTCACTTCGTTCGAACACTGTATCCGTCGAGAAGAACGGCACAATGACGGACAATCGTAAGTAGCGTATACGATAAAATTACGCGCTTAATTACAATCACGTTGCTGTCTCTGTAACGTACGAGACATTTGTTTTCTTGCACTAGACGAGTTGGAATTGTGCTAGCGTCGCAATCGTCTCTCCTCGCGGTGTCGATTGTACGAAAATGGCGATCTGCAAAATTGTATCGAAGATACCGAATAACGCTGAGAATTTATTGAAAATTATATTTTCTTAAATGTGTTAAAGATATCAATAGAATATCGATTTCGTATATAATATGTGAATAATTTTATATATTATAAAAATTTAGAATAAATTATGGTAAAACGGCATCATAATTATTGAAATATTTACATTGAATTTTACAGAATATTCCAATTATCAACAACAAGGATATAATCAATATAGCCAACCACCACCTTCGGCTGGTCAGGATACATCGTATCCACCTCCCTCTGCTGGCACAGGTGGCTACAATCAATATAGTCAGCCACCTCCAAGTACTGGTACCAATTATGGCAATTACGGCAGCTACAACTCTAACACTGGTCAAGACTACAATCCATCTCCAAATCAAGGCAGCTATGGACAGAATAGCTACAGTGGAGGTAGTAATGCAGGCAGCGGGGATAGTGGTAATAATTACGGTGGAAACTATGGACATGGAAGTAGCGGAAGCGGTGGTGGGGGATATAATCGTAACTCTGGTGGTGGCTATAGTGGAGGTAAATATTTTCTTTGTATTGTTTACATTTTGTGTTTTTCTTTTTTTCTTCTTTCTGTTAAGTGTTGCTCTTTTTTGCTATATCTATCTCGAAATTTTATTTTATACTATTTTGAACTCTTAAAAATGAGATGCTAGGTACTGGTGAATAATTTTTCTTTTCTTATTAAATTAGAATTTATATTTATCTTATTTGCATGTTTCTTAGGCCAAGGAGGTGGCGGCGGAGGCGGTAGATATGGCGATCGCGGCGGTTATGGAGATCGCTCCGGCGGTGGTTACAAGTAAGTTTATTTTCTAAATTTTTAATATATTTTAATAAGGCGACAACCGGAGCAACAGACTCCGACGTATTAAATTAAAGCCAACAGCCACTGCATTCACAGTGATCGATCTCACAGTAAACGACTTTGTTGAAGCAAAATCAAAGGTATGCAATAAAGTTCTTACGCAGTAATGGAAACTCTTGTTGTATCATCATTACGAACGGTTTTATGCCCGGTTGGGCGTTAATATGTTTGAAGTATGCCTACAGGTTTAAGTGACAGATGTAACTGAGGTAAAGAGGTAAAGAAACAATATGTGACAAATGACGTAAAAAGGTTGTAATATCGACATCCTATTAGCTGGTTCTGGAATTGTAACAAACACATAACACACACGCACATACATACATATAAACGACGTACGTACATATGTATATGTGTCGTAGTTATATGCAAAGGTCTTAAATCAATCAAGACCATAAAGCGATTGATGTCGCCACTGGGATCACTGTTGTAATATTATTTCTATTAGGCATATTAAATACGTTTAGGCAATTATAAGGTATTTAGAGTCTATTGTAAGAGATTACATTATCAAACTACTATTATTGTATAGGCATTTTTCGAAAAAGCATGTTTTGAGAATAAGCTGTATATGTGACATGTGTTAAATTCGCATATAACACATTTGCCTTCAACATACACAGTTTTACTGTGTGTATTGTTACTTCTAGTTATGGTGTATTAGTATTACTGTAGGTATTTTTTGGAAAGTAATATTTTTTCTGTTAAAAAAAAAAAAAGAAACCTCTGTACGAAGTATACAAACACATGAAAAGAGCAAAGTGCGTTGTGTGTCGACTGTGTTTTACATTTAGAAATTTCCCAACTGCAACAGAATCAACGGCAAATTGCAGCGGATGCTTGGCAATATTTCTTTCCGCGGCAAAAATTTTTTACTTGCAATACACAAGTAATCTCTTACTTTTTTAGGGGGGTTTGAAAAATGACGGGTAAAATGTCGAAGTAAAACCGAGGAATGCTTCTTTTGTCAAGATTTGTTTTTCCCTCGAACTCATTATCCGGATCGAACAGACCGAACACTTTAATTTAGTTTTGTTTCTATTTAAGTGTTGTTCTCACATATATAAAGATAATCTCTGCATGCTAAACGAGAGAAAACTGACAAACGTAACTTGACGTCAGGACGAAACCGGCAAATCTAATGCAAATCATGATGTAATGACTGTAACAGACATTTAGACAAATAGGTACATCAATCAAGAAGAACGAACGGTGGCGAGCGGCATACATACGATTCGCCATGCATCGATCGATCGATCACAGTCTGTCCATGAGTCAACTCATTGGTATATCTGCTTCTGTGTTTTAGCAGTGGCGGTGGCCGTGGTGGTTATAACAAAGGTAAATGCACCAGACTGTTTGTACTAGTCTGGTGCTAAATATTCTAGCTTTCACTCTACTATTTATACGATCTTAAATACTCGGTTACTCGGTTATTATATGAAAGGGCTGCTATGCAACATTGTTAGGAGGAGCGTTGTAAAATATCTCTCAATGGTAATTATTCACCATATAATACAATACATTCGCACGGCATTCATTGAAGCGAGAATGAGAAGAATCAATAATGAACTGTTCCAATTCTACTTGTAGTATATAATTGAAAAAGTGACCACATATATTATATAATCACCAATTGCTTTTTTTCCTATGAACGGCAACGCTTGCGTGTCGTTTTATGTTATGTTATCGTAAAATAATAAGATTCGCAAAAGCAGGGCATTCTGTCTAATCAAAAAATTAGATGGTTTATATTCTGTAAGATAATTTACTCTGTATATATATACCCAACTACAAGTAATGCACTGTGCGGTGACGTCGTTCAGTGCGAAAGCAATGTTTTGGAAAATCCCTTAAAAAGGTTGATGAAAGAGGTTCGTCCTAAAAAAAGGTACAAAAAGGTATTACGTATGGATATTACGTTCATTTTGCGAAAGAAAAAGCAAAATAGAACAAAATACTTATACAATATGATCATCCTATATATTTTTGGTATGGTCATATCATATTTGGACGCGATATTTTCAAACTGTATAAGCGTGAAAATATGTATAATACAGGCGCGAAAAAAAGGACTAAATAAAAGGCAGCTGGTGAGCTACTTGCCAATCTATGATTAAATCTTTAAGCGTAAGAGATAATGTTGCAGCCCTTTTGTATGTTCAGCTGCAACCTTGTGTTCTGTATGTATCGTTAGGAATTAATTGGAGTATTAGACTGCTACTAATATACATTAGGTTTCTATAAATCAAATGATTTACACAAAAAGATTAGGATGTATACTGCACACACACAAATATAACGTCAAAGTATATAAGAATCTTCAAATTATGGAAGTATATACAAGAAATTATTAATCATTATTTAGTAGAATTGTATACAATATCTCTTTTTTTTATTCTTTTTTTAAGACCTCTTGGAAAGAAGTATACAACAATAATTATACTTAATGAATAATATAAATTATGCGTAATGAGAGGTAAAATAACGTTCTATAAGAATATACACACATAAGAGCGTATATACATTTCTAGATATTAAATACCTAATATAAGTTTATAATATATACTATACAAGAGAAGAACTTAATCTTGTGTTGTACGATTTACGTGTAAACTCAAATTGAATTGTAAAACTAGAATGTAAACCAAATGAAACTGGTAATCTGTTTCTTCTGCTTATATTTAGAAAAATGACAGAAAAGTTTTACAATATTAAAGCCGCACATGTGTATAGTTCCAATCGGCACGATATCGTAAGACTATTAGAAAAGTGTGGAAACTAACATTTTGGAAACATAAGCATTATATCCTTATTAAGAACTGTCGTTGTGTCATTAGGAGAAATACGAAAAAGTTTTAGAGATACGACTTGATAATTTTTATCAAAAGTTGTGTGAAAACTCGAAGAAAGGTATACGGACAATGTTTCAAAGTATTCATGACGTCTTGTAACATTAGTCGTTATTTATATAGAGAATGTGCAACGCTGCGAAACACTTTCCTTATACTTTTAGATTAGGATAAAGTAGTAGCTCCGGGATCAGTAGAGATACGCGAGTATATTTTTACTTTAGACGTTTCTCTGTGCGATGAATCATAACTCTCGGTCCATTGCAGGAGGCTACGGTGACCGCAACAGTGGCGGTGGTGACGGAATGGTTACTCAAGAGGATACTATCTTTGTATCCGGTATGGATCCATCGATCTCCGAGGAAGAAATTTGTCAACATTTCGGTGCGATCGGCGTGATTAAAGTACGTTATCTTGTCCGTTTATACGCAGATATATATTTATATTATATATAGCATTAAATGCGTGCACGATTCGAGATAACAATGTTATTTCAAACTAAGAATCAAACGCATTTAAAATTAAATATGAGATAACTCTCAAGCTACTATTTGATTACTCTATGATACTTCAATGTACAATAATATGGAGATAGCCCTTTTAATTACACATTTGTTAGATGTTTAATGAAAGTTTCATGTTTCCAGCATGACAAACGTACGGGCAAGCCGAAAATTTGGATGTACAAGGATAAGAATACGGGAAAATCGAAAGGGGAAGCGACAGTCACCTACGATGATCAGAATGCCGCACGCTCGGCCATTAGCTGGTTCGATGGCAAGGATTTTAAGGGTTGCACGATAAAAGTACAAATAGCGCAGCATAAGAGTAGCTGGCAGGGCAATCGGATGGGTGGCAGTCGCGGCGGCGGTGGCCGTGGTCGTGGCGGCGGAGGTTTCGGCGGTCGCGGCGGCAGTGATCGCGATGATCATCATCGTGGGGGTGGCGATGATCGTGGAGGCCGCGATGGCGGAGGCCGCGGTGGCGACTGGAGGTACATTATCTGATACATTATTTTGTATCGAATAAAATTTTTTCATTATATTGTAGCATAATATTGTTATTACTAAATTTTAATTATACATGTATATCTAACGGTAAAGGAAGATATTGAGATATATCGAGAAAAAAACAATCATTATAGAAAAACTGTTTGAAACAGGTGTCCGAATCCCGATTGCGGTAATACAAATTTCGCATGGCGGGATCAATGTAATCTCTGCAAAAGCTTAAAACCGGAGGGTCTCGGTGGTTACGGCGGCGGGGGTGGCAGCGGCGGTAGGGGCGGTGGTCGAGGTAGTGGCGATCGCGGTAGCCGAGGAGGTTATAGAAGCGATCGAGGTGGACGCGGAGGTGACAGAGGCGGTAGAGGTGGCGGCAGCGGTGGTTTCCGGGGCGGAGACCGAGGAGGCCGCGGAGGCCGAGGTGGTCCTATGAGGGGAGGCGGCGGGTAAGATTCCTATTTTTTCTGAATTTGTGTGTGCGTGACCTTTAGAACTTTATGAATTATTTTTCATGTTTACACTCACTATTTTTTTCAATATAATGAACATAAAAGGATTAAAAGATCAAACATTTATATATATATATATATATATAAATCTATATATTAATCGCACATTAATTTACGTATTTTTCATTTTATTTTAGTCGAGGCGAGAGGGACAGGGATCGCCAGCGACCATATTAATTTCATATTCATATAACGGTCGTACGACTTTTACTGTCACTAAACGACTTGTACACATTTTTGTATACACAGTTTCAATGCTTGTACATTTCGCCAAGTGATAAATCACTCTTTACATGTGTCATGTACTTTTATTTTTTTTTGCGTAATTTTTTTATATTCATCGGAAATACGAACTACATATGTATATTACGTTCGTGTATACAAAACTATTTCTATGTAAAATCAAATCCAATAGGAAATAATAGGTAAGACTTTGCGTTGCATAAGTATATGTGTAACTGTTTGATTTATTTATCGCCCACTATCTCATTTAAACAAAATAAAAGCGAAAAAACTTTGGGAAAGTTTATTTATTGAAAGTTGAAAATATAATACAGTTAATTTGTTATATATATATATATATATGTATACAAATCTGATGGAGAATTATATAACTCAGAAACGTGACCAAAATAAATATGTCTTCGTCTATAATCGGACTCAAGAGAAGCCGAATTTTTTAAACAAACTGTATTTAACATTTTCCTTTTTCTTTTTTTATTACGGTAAATATATCTATATAGTTTTGTAATATATCGCGTTTGCTAAAGAGATGTTATGCATATATATGTGTATGACATGTGTAGTATATCGGTATTTATATAATTTTTTCGGTATGTATATGTACACAGATACCTAGGTATGGATAGATTACATGAAGACCTCTAGTTTTTATGGATTTACTTGAACGCACCGTAACCACTGGTCTCTCTTCGCTCAATCTTTACGTTTGCGTGACTCCTTGGACAGTTCCTAGAATAATATAAACAAATATTTTGAGATTATTGAAATAAAACTCTTATCAAAATTTTCACAAAAAAGAAAAAGAATGGCGCGATAGTTCTAAGAAATACCTATAAAGAAATTTCACACTAAAATCATTAATTTGTCAAAACAATTTACCTTTTGCGTAAGTATCACAAGGAGGTGTCGAAAAATGCCTACGAAATCGATGAACAAATCCAAGGAATGCATGATGAAGTCTCTGCTGCCCATGTGATGTTTCTCGATAATCAATTGCGTGTCATAGATGACAAAGCCGCAAATCACGAATAATCCCAGATATAAATGCGCTTGGTAGATGAAAGTCGAGCGCAAGAACAGATTGGCAAAGGAAAACAGGATCATGATATTCAGCATGCTCATTAAGGTGCCACCAAGATACAGCCAGCGACCACGTTCAGCCAAAAGTGCAGAAATGCTGAAGGAAACGAAAACTACTGTCGTACCTGTAATCATTTTATTGCAACATCATCATATTATATACATGTACACACATTTAAAAACAATTAATTTAGTAATATTAATCATTTATCGATAATGACGATCTTTTTATCATTTTTTCATAACGTTATATAAGATAAAAAATTAGGAATTCCTAATATAAAAAACAAAAAAATAATTTGTTTTAGATCTAATAACGCATTATGTTAGAAAATTGTAGAAAATAACAAAAGAAGTTGCTCACTCACCAACTAATGCTGTTACCACTATACTCGGGTCTATGCTGACTACCATCTCAAGTAAAGGACCTAATCCAAGGCCAGACAGGAATGCAAATCCCAAGAGGTAACTGAGGCGCAGCTTTTGATTTTTGCCATTATCAGGTGTAGTCATTAATGCAATGAGGAGACCCAGGGTACCAAAAGTTGTCAATAGATTAGCCTGCAGGAGCTGCGTGTACATGTGTACATAAGCTCCTGCAGCTGCTGATACGGTGGACAGGGACAAACAACCATAGACATTTTTCAAGTGTTGTCTGACCGGTGCATTTCTGTGGATAGTGCATTAACAATTGCTGGTTAACATAAATCGCTTTGCGAGAATATTGTGTATGTGTGTGTGTGTGAGTGAGAGTGAGAGAGTTTAGTCTTATGTTCTATGAAAATATAGCTGATGCAAGAATGACAATCTCTTCATCTGCAATCCTGCGTTGGAAATGCATATCTTTTTTCTATAAATTTATAATCTATAAAAACTAAGCTTTACATAAAACAAAAATTTATTTTTTTTTATGCTTGTTTAATAAAAATTTCAAGATAAATATTTTGCTTGTCCATCATTTTTTTCTCCATGAATAGTATGATGCAATTTTTATATTAATCTCTACTATCTTCTATTGCTCTATATCCTGCATAATTGAGCTCAAATGTATACTTAATTATATGTAATTTAAATTAAATAAGTAAAATAATTTGACTGATTTATGTTCCTCTCTAACAATAAGATGTCTTCATTTTTTTGAAAAGTTGATCAAGCTTTTCACAAGATATATCATTGTAATATTTTCAACTCTCAAGATAATTTTGTAGCTGCATCTTTATTCCGTTGAAGAAGATATCATGAAAGTTTAATAATATCTCAAAATGTAAAGAATATTATAGATATAAAATTTATGTCATCATTATTATCATGATATGTCTGGAAAACAAAAACAATATCATATCAAAATAATCTATCCAATACGAAGAGAGTCTAATCTGATTAAATAACGTTCTAGAAACCGAGAATACTTTTTACTATGTCATTCTTCCCTCTCTCTATCTCTCTCCTTCCGTACATTTATGATGCACGAACTCTGAACTTAAGTGTAATGTCATATATATATATATATATAATGTATAGACAAAATTCACGCGTTGATGCTTTCTTCGTCTTAAAAAATTTGTGCTCTTTTTTTCCTTCGAGATAACCCCATATATATTTATTTCGCAAGAGACGCGACGCAGCTAAAAACAGGCGTATGGATATCAAAAAGTTTTATATAGGATATCGGTACATTTCTACTTCGTATTAAATATTAGTAATAGATGACATTGAGAAGTTTGAAATCGATTTTCCCATAACGAAAATATCAAGGAAGGTCATTATTGTAGCCACAAGAGCTCTTTCGACATTATGCAAAGTGTGTTCACGCTTTCATCATATATGTTCACTACTTATACACAGCGTAAATTGCGTCGTCCTGTATCTACGAATGAACGAAGGTATTCGTTCTGGAACACGTATCAAACGAAAGTTGAAGGTCATGAAGTATCGCGACGCGACGCGACATATATATGGTATGTGTTTGTATTTTGTGTGTGTGTGTGTGTATATATATATATATCGTAAGTTGGAGAGGATGTGGAGGTTCGCGAGATAAAAACAGGTATCGCGAAAACTACGTCACGAAAGACAACGTAATGGCCAAAAGACGAGAAAAATCGCGTAAACATTTCAGATTGATGACTATTTCGTCAGAAATAGATGCTGGGAAAATTGCGCGTCGAAAAATATATAAACTTACAATGTGTTGCTGAAGGAATTTATAAAAGTGTTGAAGACCGCTGCCATAATTTTGCTGTCGCTCGGCTGATTCTGGACGATGCTTTCTGACGATCGGCACACGCGCTACACGAGACGCTCACTTACAACCCCGATGCCACGATGACTGGTGATATTTCGTATCGTCGATTCTCTATGCGCAAGACGAAATTGTCGTGGCGAAGTCGATGAATTGTATGCACGTACGTAGCCGATCTTTGCACGGGGACACGTCAGTGATATTTCTACGCGTAAAAACCAACCGACGAGACAGACGAGGATAGGACGAGAATGAACGTATTCGATTGGTGCTGCGGGCTGACTAGATGGCGTCATCGAACACAACTCGAAAATACATGTCATGTTTTTTTTCTTTTTTAGTCAGTTTTCCTTTGATTTTCATTAGAAAAAATATCGAGATTTAAATCAACATTTTATTATTCAATGTGGTTCTTCTTATTATCTTTCTATATTCTTGCACAATTTTTTTCTCTATCCTTTCTTCAGTATACTTGGGTACTTACATATTTTTTAGAAAAAATATCGAGATAGAAATTGGAAATTACTATAACAGCTGTTTTCTTATTATATTTTTATACTTTTTTTTTACAATTTTTCTTTCTCTCCAACGTTTAGGTATTTATTGTATAGAAAATGTACATGATATAGGCCGTATTCCAAAATACACTGCCAGTACTGAAAATCTATAATTCATGTAACGTATATCATAGATTTCTAGTACTGGCAGTGAATTTTGGAACACGGCCATAGTTAAAAAAAAAAAAAAAGAGAGATCTATGGATTCCAAAATTTCATACAAATATCTCAGTTGTATCATACAAAATCAATTTTGATGCAAAGTATTCAAAAATATTTACAAGTTATATAGATGATTGACTATCTTAAAAAAAAAAAAGATATAATTATTTTCTTTCATAGTGTATTATTTTTTAATTATTCTTATACAAGACATACAAAAAAAACTCGAGGGAGAGGGAGAATTATTTTTTTACATTATAAAACTACATGTACTTCTTGAAACATAATTAACACATCGAATATTAAATATATTTTTACATAAATAAAATTAAAAAAAATAATCCTATATAATAGATATATATATGTGTATATAATGTTAATTATAACAAGATATTTGTAAATTTATGCATATGGTTTTATAATTGTGTTTCGCACAACTATCATAAAATTTACATTTTTCTTTCTTTTTCTGTTATCTTAATATTGTACATACATTCTATCAAATTGTCTTTATATATCCTTTTGATGTATATTCAAAAATTACAATATAATCGTAAATTGCCGAAGTATGCTGTTTAAACTACTAACTATTTCGAGAGCTGATAGAAAAGATTAATGATTTATAGAGTATGGAAATTTTTTGGTACACTGCAATATTGTTCTTTTTATACACTCTGCTATATAACGCTATTGACACAATCCTGATAAAATTTATTGTAATTGGGAAATGGTTAATGAATACTTTGAACGCTATATAACTTCCATTCTAATTGTATTAATTAAGCAGTATTTCTAAGATTGAGGACATTGTGTTCTTCCAACATCTCCACTTTCTGATTGACTATCAGTATTGTCAGATAAGTTGTCATTAGAAGAATCATCAAAATGGTAATCGTCGTCGTCGTCGTCATCATCATCGTCATCTCCAATTGGATCATCAAATTCATATTGACGCGGATAAAGTTGCTAAAAAAGGGACAGCCATGAAACGAAAAAAATAAACGTATATTTTTTCAAATTTCAATTTATAACAAAGACTTCAATTAGTAATAATATATGATGAAAATACTTATATAATATACATATATGTATTACTTACACGCATTCTTTCTCTAATACGGGCATATCTCAATACACCCAAAACCCAATGCCATTGCCCATCCGGTCCATCAGGCGTGTTTTCTTGCTTTCTATTTCTCGCATTGGATTTGGCACACTTAAGAAAAAAAAAAGTATGCAAAAAATCAGGTTAAATGTTCATAACTTTTTATAATTATTATAGCAGATTAGTAATATTAATAGTTGTAATAGCAGCAGCAGCAGTTATCTTTTTTTTTTCAGGATATAGTATATAAAATGCAATGAATATATAATACTATGATAAATATATGATAACACAAAACATAGAAAAAATATGCATAATGAAACGAAAAGAAAGAAAAGAATATATATAAGAAAACAAGTAAAATACGATTTTTTTATACATACATTCACTAACGATTTCATCATTGGAGCTTCTCTGCCTGAAGGCACCCATATTTTGACATCATAATCCAATCCACTTGTTGCAAGAACAGGAATATGCGGATGTCCTTCTAAACAATTTACCTATATAATAAAAAAGGAATGTTATTCTCTCTTCCATTATAAAAAAAGATTTGTATATTTATTTTATTTTTATGAAGTGAAAAACTCACAACTCCTTGTTTATCCCCTGCCATCCATTGTACAACCGCTGATGTAGTTTTCTCCCAAATGAATATATTACCGCAATCAGACCCAGATATAACATATTCACTTTTGGGTCCAAAGAAATTGACACCTTTTACTGTAATTAAAAAATAAATGATAATGTAGTAATTAAAAAATAAATGATAATGTAGTATTATGCAATTATATACTTAAAGCATCAGTTCCTAAATGTTAATTTTAAAAGAAATTTACAAAGATATGTAATTTGTAGGAAAAAAGAATTATTATAAAAATTAATTATAATGTTTATCATTAAATTCTGAACATCACATTTCATCAAGTTTGTGTTGAAACATATTAAAATAATCACAAAAATCTAAAATTTAAAGTATACATTCTCTTAATACAATTATATGCCATGTGTATATGTAATATACCAGTTGCCCTATTCCTATGGCCTACATATCTATTAGTGTAATCTTCAAATGACAATAATCTATTAAATAGATATATGACTTCATCATTATATGATGCAAGAATCTCAGTTCCATCGTGATTATATACAGCGCATGTTACATGCGCGTTTTGTTTATTCTCTGTCTAAAACAAATTATATATATACTGTATATAGAATTACAAACTAAAATTCTATTAGTCTTTTTATTATTAAAAGAATTATTAGATTTATTCATCACAATAGAAAAACACAACATACCAGATGATTGGGGCATAATTTATAGAGCGGCGTCGAAACTTTTCGTCGATCATACACTCTTACATACTGAGAACGGCCGCCGATGCAAAATTCATTGCTATTAAAAGGATTACAATGTATACTATATAATTGAACTATTCTAGATGAATCCTCTTTTACATATAGTAATCTGTGAACAAAAACATTAATTATATGATATGTATATAAAATATAATTAATGGTATACGCACACACACACACTAATTATATTTATTATACGCACGCAAGCGCGCGCACACACACACACACACATATATTGTAACCTCTTTATTAACATGTAAAGAATAAAAGGCATATGAATATAATATATATATATATAAGCTTTTTTAATCATATGTTATATTGTTTAATTGTGATAAAAAGACTATCACTTACCTGCTTGGTTTCCTTTCTCGGATATCTATGGAAAATACTCTTGCATCTTCCCCAGCAGAAAAGATTATATGAGGCGTTTCAGGATGCACAGCTAATTTGTGTGATGCGGCACGATGCGCCGCCAATCTCTTTGATGTATTATGTTCAAGATCCAATAAACGTACTTGACCATCTTCAGCACAAGTGACCATAAGATACTCCATGTCCAATGGTAACCACTTGGCCTTAATGTGAGCAATTCAATAAAAAAAAATTATTTAAAAATGAATAAATATATATAATAATATAAAAATTATTAAAGACACAAACATATCCTAACTTATATATACTTTACTAATGAATCCATATCCTTATACTTTACTTATAAAGGTATATTAATATATACTTGAAACATATTTCTCGTGTGTCCACTCATAAACGAATGACGCTTTTTTCCTACAGCCCAATCCCATATAACAACTGTTAAATCGTCAGAGGCACTCGCTAATAAATTTCCCTTTTCATTGAAATTTAAGGCATTTACGCAACCCTGTAAATAATAATCGAATGTCAATATATAAATAATAATGATCTAATTTTTTTATAAGCTACACAATGTAAAAATCGAGTAGATCAATATATAGTGTTTATGAAATAGTAAATAACATAATAACATACCTGATGTTCATTAAGATTATACATAAGTTCGAGTCGTTCTACCGCATGTAAAGAACCGTAAAATCTTCTTTGGAACAACAGATTGCTACCTATTTGGCGATTTATAACTTCCGGTACTATGTGCCAATTGGGTTGGATGCCAATTGATGGTATCTCGTTTTTTTGGCAACGAGGTAGCTCTTCTTCATATTCTTCTTCTTTATATGTATAATTATATATAAAATATTTTTTAAGTTATATATATAATTTATTTTATATATATATATATGTGTATGTAATTAAAATAACTGTATACATACATACATATATATGTATATATTTACACATATACACACACGCGCGCGCATATATATATATATGATACATCATTTTTTAGCAGTTATTTATATTTAGTGTTATATTTCATCTATTACAGGACTAGTCTTCTAAAAGACATTTCCAAGTTATAAATAATAAAGATATTATATATATATTCAACAATCGCTCTCTAATATGATTTAACATAACAAAACAAATAATCACCTTCGTCTGTATAAAGCTCAAAATTTTCTCTTGCTGCCTCGCTTGACGAGGTATTTCCAGAGCTGTCTTCATTATCACTTGTTATATTTTGTCTCTTACGATAATTTCGTTGTTTTACTTTTGATTTGGTTTTTTGAAATGTTACTGTATCATCGCTTACATTTTCAGCATCAATATTGTCTACACTTTTATTTAACTTCTGACGTTTACTCGAATCTTCGTCTGAACTATCGTCCGATTTTTCTATTGATGCATTACTGTTGGCATGTACTTGACCTTTTGAAATACCTCTTTTAGCTTTAATCTGATCTGTATGTAATACGTTTGATACATCAATATGAAAAGAAGATGAACTATTTTCTTGTGAAGTAGTTGCTTCTGATGCATCAACCAAATTAATAGTTTTACAAAAAATATTTAATGTATCATTAGTTTTGTCACATTTATCAGTTGTAATTTTAACATCACCTCCTATAGAAAGTTCCACAGATTCGTGCACATGTTCGCTTTGCATAGTTTCGCAAACAAAGTTGTTATCAAGTTTTATTGCATGGCTAGCATCTTTTATTTTGCTCTCAAATGTATCAGTAGAACTATTTACATCTGCTGAGATGCTTACAACTTCTAAAGAACTTGATTGTGTCTTTCTAGATTTATCACTCTCGGAGTCATCCATGCCAGAAAAATTTACCTCAAATTTTTCGCCATGTGCTTCACCTTCAAAATCCATATTTCAAAGATCATACATATACTTCTGTTACTTTTCCAGAATGTCAGTAATAATTTCTTTAAAATGATAATTGTTTAATATATGTGACACACACTGAAAGTTTATATCTGGAAAGTAATATATCAATCGATAAAAAAGATCTATAAATATTCAATTCTTATAAAATTGCATAAACACGAATTAAAACCGTAACGAGTTAGTACATAGATATTTATATTTTTCTAGAATGAATTGTGATATAACCGAGATTGCAGGAAATATATCCCTGTTTAAGTAGCAGGAATAACTGCAATATATCACAAGACAACATTCTTCGAAGAGTATGTATGATATATTGTTACCGATTTAATATCATGCGGCTATCACTCGTAATACAAATCTGTCATTAACGAAGAAGAAAAGACGAAACAGAGATCGCATTGCAGAGATTCGACGATACTGAGATACTAAGCAATAAGAATCACAGTATCACAGAAAATCATAGAATCACAGAATCACACTATCACACTACTTTAGTATCATCTGCGATATGATACAAATCATGATGTAAATATAAAAGTGTACCATTGTGCATGATGACGTCACGCGTAGTGACGTAAAACCATAGATATATACCTCTCTTTGGGCGCGTTCCACTTAACGATCGCAATGCTCACGGTATCATTTCATTTTTGTTGTTCACTGAAAGTTAAACAAAGACAGATGATACTCGCGAGCGTTGCGGTCGTTAAATGGAACGCACCCTTTCTACAGCGAGCGAGCGCGCGTTTATCTATCGCAACCATAGACATATAGGCCAGTATTCATAGTCCGTTCTTATATTCAAGATCGTCTTAAGTACGGTTATCGTCTTAAGATGCTAAGCGGTCATTTCATTGATTGAAGGAGATCTTAAGACGACCCAAGACCACACTTAAGACAATCTTGAATTCTTGTATTCTTGTATTCTTAATATTTAAATGGCCGTAATGATCTGGGGTGGGTCATGTATTCGGGCCAACAACAGGTTATATTAGAGTGTAAATTCAGTTTTTATGCGTATATACTGGAAGAAGAGAAGAGAGAGAAGGAAGGAATTTTTGTTGGGAGGTGGTAGGAAAGGAAAAATGGGAAAGCGCAGGCCAGGGTTGAGTCGGGAATCGAACCCGAGATCTCCGGGATGTCAGGCGCGCTACACACTGAGCCACCGGAGGCCCCATGTTGACAATCTTGAATATAAGAACGGACTATGAATACCGGCCATAAGCCCGTGTCACACTACGCATTGCGGACACGGATCGGATTTGGATTACGGACTGCGAATCGTCAATCATCCAATCAGATCCTTGGCTACTTCGCTCTGATTGGATGAATGACGATTCGCAGTCCGTACTCCAAATCCGATTCGAGTCCGCAATGCGTAGTGTGACACGGGCTATAGAATGGACTGAGCGTTGCGATAGACAAACGCGCGCTCACTGTAGAAAGAGAAATACTATATGAGAGGCCTATTTTGTCTCTTTTCCTAGCATCTCATTGATGATTTTGTCCCCCTCCATATAGAAAATTACCAATGAAATGCTAGAAAAAGAGACAAACATAGGCCTCCCATATAGTACCTCTCTTTCTACAGCGGGCGCGCGTTTGTTTATCTAGTAATGTAGCAATCGAACGTGATTGGTTCTTACTTCTAGAACCAACAAATCAACGTCAAGTGTTGACAAAGATTTTCAATACTGGCAAACGTAGTTTCTGTACGTCACATTATACATCAAAATGGCTGAACTTATCGCGATTCCATTGAAAAAACCTTCCGACGTTGACATAATAAAACCGCTTACAAATGTCATTAAGTCAACCTACAACAGCCCAGGCAATCAAAAAGATTATACGGACGCTATCGCGGAATTTAGCAAGCTGAGAAACAATGCTCTTTGGCGAGCTTTTGAGAAGTATGAAAGTTCCTTACAGGTTATCTACAGGTATGAGTCATCTTTAATTATTTCGATTATATTTCGTGCGACAATTAACGATGTTACCAATTATTGTCATGATTTTTTAAATTGTTCGATGAAATATATATGTATTTCGTTTACTGGCTGCATGTCTTTTATGCATTCGCATTCTTAAGTCCACGTCAGCGATACAACCAAATTTTACTTACGACGAATGACATTTTTAATTGATTAAGTATTAAGTCGTAACTTGTCTACATACAGGATGTTTTAAATCTTGTCTCTTTTTCGCGTTTTTCCCACCTGAAAGAAAGAAAATGCTTACATGTCATAAGCAAACCATTAAAAATTTAAATATTTTTATATATATACACTTTAACATATATATATATACAATCTTTTTTTTAAGTTTTTAAATTGCTACGTATTATTTTTATACATACATTCTAGTCGGAGAGAATGTTGCAAGAAGAACGTGAATCCGACAACCAATTAAGAGAACAATTCAAAGAACGTTGGAAGCGAACACCTAGTGCCCGACTGACGGAACAATTTACTAGCAATTTACAAAAATATCGTGAAATTATAAATAACGCAGTTACAGCTGATAAGGTAAAAAGATACTTTAAAGTTAAAATACGACTTCATGGATCTGTATTTTTACGAATATTTTATTATATGATCATATATATATATCCATGCACAGGTGGTTCGCGAGAAATACGAAAATAATAAAGAAGGAATGGAAATTTTAAGTCTGGATGAGGATGAACTTACTAGGACTGTTCCGCAAGGTTCGGCTGTTCAAGAGAGTAATGTTGTTATACGACTCAGGAAATTAATGGATGATGTAGGTGGATAACAATACAATAAATGGATTCGTGCGCATCAATTTCTTGAATCCTAATCATTATTCAATATTCTCTTTTAGGTAGAGACATTGAAAGCTGAACGAGATGCTATTGAAAGCGAATTCAAATCCGCTACCAATGATATGAAGACTACATTCCTTTCGGCGCTAGCTAAAGATGGCGCAATCGATGAACCAAATTTATCTGTCGAGAGTTTGGGAAAATGTTATGGGCCTTTACAAAAACAAGTACGAGAAAGCATAGCGCGTCAGGAAAAATTAGTTGCTGAAATTCAGGTATGTCTAAGATTTTTTGCACATATACAGGAAATAATTGTAATTGTTTGTAAAAGATGAAAAAGATACGCGCGCGCGCGCGTGTGTGTGTACGTATAAATTTATGTTTTTAGACATGCCATGCAGAATTTACAAATGAACAAGCTGGTACTGGTAGTGCGCGAGAAACGATGCTCTGTAAGCTGGCTTCTGCTTATGATGCATTTAAAGAGCTGAAGAGTAATCTATCAGAGGGGGTTAAATTTTATAACGATTTGACGCAGGTACACATTTATGTTGTGACAATTCATTACTTGTTCTCATTTTTGGTCATTATCTAAACAATTTATTCTTCTACCTGTGTAGCTACTGGTAGTTTTCCAAAACAAGATATCCGACTTCTGTTTCGCCCGAAAAACTGAAAAAGAGGAATTATTGAAAGATTTAACGACGAATTTGAGCCATACTGGTCCCGCTACAACGCCAAGTATTCCATCCCATCATAGCAGTGGTACGAATCTGATATATTTATTGGCTTTAACATTCTCTGAAATTCAAAAAAATATATCTTCTATCTAAAAGGACCATCTGGTGTAAACCAACCATCGGAAATCAGTACAGCACCGCCTCAGTTGCCGTATCCTACGCAACATCAAGGTGGTATGCCTGTACCTTACGGCGCTACACCAGCAACACCCTATCCAGCTTATGTTCCTCCACCGATGCCGACAACGTACAATCCATATGCTACAATGCCATACCCTACACAAGGTATATATACACTTTAGTTCTATTATCTATATATATAATGATATATTCAAAATGTGTGTGTGTGTGTGTGCGTATAATGAGATTTGTTTTGATTTTTCTTAGGAGGATACAATCCATACCAAGCTATGCCTCAAGTTCCATATGGAGGCTATGCGACAATACCGCGTTACAGTGGTGCTCAACCACCGCATGGTCAAAATCCATGGTGAATTATACAAGCAGCTTTAGTATACACTTTGGTATACACTGTGATTTTACGTAAATTGCATATTAATTCCAATAATATTTATGCATCATATTTTATACAAAGTCTGCTATATTAATCAACATTCGGAGCTGATATTGTGTATAATTCAAGGGATTTTGCTAATCATTATATGTCTTTCGCCATACTGAGGATGTCTTCCGTTTGATACTACAAAAGTTTTGATTTTTTTGATTGACCAACTAAGATGAAAAAGGAGAATATTTCTTTGCTTTAATTAGTTAATAAAACACTTCAAAACTTTCTTAACATCGAACAGAATGCATCCGAAGTCCTCCATCTAATACAGATTGACCGTTAGTATTTCTTAAGCTTTAAGTGCTGCTTATCGATTTGTGTAGAGAACACATATATCGATTTATAAATATATTTTGTAAAATAAAAAAGCCAAACATATATGAATTATTTTTCCTACATCTTTTTTGTGTTGACTCTCTAATTATAACTGTCATAAGAATCGCATAAATATGGATACAAGTCATTTATTTATTACAATTTTATACGATATATGTATATAAATACATATATTTTAAAAGCTTTGCACATAAAAAAATATTTAAAGTATATATATATATATTCTTTTCTTTCATTTTTTTTTTAACTAATTACATTAATTAGAAGTCAATTTTCATCATAACTTAGTTAATTGAAGTAGAACAATTTTTGAACTTTGAAAGGGATTAATATTAGAAATTTCTGAAAAACAGTTTTCATATGGAAATATCTTGGAAACCTCGTCGTTTCACAAGCAATACAATACATATATCCAATATGAACAGTTTTAGTACAGGAAAGAGGTAAAGAAGATTCGAAATATAGATATCCTCTTGTAAGAGAATATACAAACATATGATAGATTTTATTTTACACTCCACAATGAAATGTGCACTACCCACAAATGAGTAATCAAAAAAGAATTGAGTTATATAGCAATATTATTATATAGCACTATTGATCCACAAACTAATAATGTTGGTGATTTCTCTTTGACAGTATAATTGATATTATATAATAATTTTGTATACTTGATAGAATAAGTAAAAGAAAAGAACATGAAATAACATACAAGTTACTTTTTGGAGTGCTGGCTACTGGAACTGCTTGATCGCGAACGACGTTTAAATTTCGGTTGACTCGTATCCGTTACGTTATCATTTCTTTTATACTTATTTTTGTCATAGCGCGAAGTGTTATCGTTGTCTTGGTAAGAATTAAAGTTATTTGGACGTCTATCGTTGCGCCTATCATAGTGTCTGTAATTATCTCTTCTATTAACTCTGTAAGAATCTCGTCTACGGGGGGAATAATTTCTCCGATTCCTTCTATCACGACTTGCTCTACGATTATAGTCTCTCTCTCTAGACCTTCGGTGATCTCTTGACCGAGAACGTCCGCGCCTTCTGCTTCTATCTTTCGAATCACGTCGGGAATTTCTGTCATTGTAGGATCGATTGTTGTCACGTCTTAATGATTTTTCATTCTTATTATGTTTAATCTCTTCTTTGTTTTGCATCATGTCATTGTCTTCCATGTTTCTCTTTGCATTGTTATCTTGTTGATAGACTGTTTTACTCATAGCTGATGTCTCATCTGTCTGATCATTTTCTTTATTCTCCATCAATTCTGTCGTGCATATATTGTTATCCAGATCTGGTACTTGATTATTTTCGTCGGAATTATCTCCGAATTTTTTAGGTCTGTCAGTTTCACGTTGCTTATCAAATTCCTCTTCTTTTTTGATACGTTCCTTTTCTATCTTCTGCAATATAAAATCACAATAAGAGAATTAACAATTGTATATATGTATTTTAATATATGTACACACTAGTATATACCTGAAATTCGTGCAGTTTAATAGTACGATTTTGAGCTTGCTTCCAATGAGGTGGAGTCATACTTCTGGAACGACTTCGAGAAGGAGTATGATATCGCTGAAAATTTATTTAAAACACACGCATTTTTTATTCAAGTTAGTAAATCAATTAATAAGATAAACTAACGAATAAAATTCGATGCTATATTTTCATTCGTTCATTACAGATATACAATTAATGCATTTAAAAAAAATAGCCAGTTACATACTAACTTATATTTTATAACATTAATAATATCACTTACGAATATTCCTCTACCCTTAAAAACACGACCAGTCTTTCTATGAGATCGTATACGATCTCTTCCATAATGCTGTCTAAATTCCTTCTGATTTGCATTATTGGTGGATCCCGCTCTATATAAAAATTTATTTGCCGGTACTTCTGGAATTTCATCGGGATCAATTTTAGTAACAGATACTAGTGGATGAGGTTGCCCATTATCTTCCTCATTAGAATCCCGAATTTCACCGTCTTCCGACTTCACTTTTTTTTTACTGAAATGATATATTGTAATTATTAATATTATACTATTTTTTAAATTTAAAAATTTAAAAATATCTTTCTATTTTATATTTTTAATAATTGATATTTTTTTTTAATAATTGATACTTTTTTTTTAATAACTGATATTCAAAATCTATTTATATTCTTATCTAATGTACCTTTTTTTGTTCTTCTTCTTTTTTTTTGCTTTATCGGCATACGAATCAGACTCGGAATCTGCTGAACTACTTTGCTTTGCCTCTCGTTTTTTTGCTGAAACAACGCATTCAATAGAAAATTATTTAAATCTTATTATATCTGTATTATAAGAGCAGATAGATAATTATACCTTTATTCTTGATCTTCAAAACCAATTCCCCACAGTTTACAACCTTAGCATCTTGTAATGGACGAGACATGCGGTCTACTGGAAGTCCTTCAATGTGTGTAATGATTTCTTGCCCAGACACTACTTCTCCAAAAACCACATGGACACTAAAGAAACAAAATACTTGCATATAGACAAATGGGTTTTTGAACAAATCATATTTATATATGTGTATTGTAAAATACTATGAAATACATGTATATTAAACATGAATCTATACTTACTTGTCGAGATGAGGCGCTGGTTGTGTTGTACTACAACAACAAAATATGATTAAGGGGATGAGAGATGAACAGAAAGAGCCAGCTTTCATTGGTCATTGTGTTGTAGTAGTGACGTGCAGACCCTTCCCTCATGACTACGCAAAAACATCGCTAAGTTATTCATTCCTCCAGAATTATTCTTATTCTTATGTTTTTCAATATCCTCCGCGAGTTTGCTGCATAAATCATCATGGGAATGCAATTGTATATTCGTGTCGAATTGAAATTTGCTAGTTTTTATCATGCATTTGAACCTATCAATCGTGAATTTTGAAAATATTTACTATTTTTACGAGTCAATATTATCTTCATATAGCTTCATTTTAATTCCACGCATATTTCATTAAAAGTTTTATTGAATGTAATTAATCATGAGAGAGCCTCTGGCAAATGTGAATAAATAGTAAGTTTACTTTATAAATATTACATTAACTTTACCCCTGATTCACATAAAACACCTAGTTAATTAATTTTAATGGAATAGAGAAAAAGTAATCTCAGAAAATTTCTCTGCAAAGAGAATTTTCTTTAAGTAAAGGAAACACATAATAACCATGTTGTATTATCTTGTGTCTGTAAGGTTTTGCTATACATACATAAAACAGATATAATTTTATAATATCTGTAATATATTATAAATATATTGTAATATATTAAATGTACAGATTATAAATTTAAATAACAATGTAATTAGCAATTTTGATACATCACCAAATAATATTATTTTAAGATACTTACATGAAGAATTGTGAACCATTGGTATCTCTACCACGATTTGCCATTGACAACAAAAATGGCTTATTATGCTTCATGATAAAGTTTTCATCTACAAAAATAACAATAATTCTTAAGTAAAAGAACAAAGTACTATAAGATTAGATTTCTCTATTACAAATTTATATTTTGTATTAAATGTTTAAAATACTAAGAATCACATATTTACCTGCAAATGTACCACCATAAATCGATTCACCACCTGTCCCATTACCTATCGAAAAATCTCCACCTTGAATCATAAAATCTTTTACAACCCTATGAAAAACGATGCCTTTATAATGCAAAGGTTTGCCTGTTGTTTTCCCAAGTCCCTTCTCTCCAGTACATAAAGTACGAAAGTTTTCGCACGTTATAGGACAAATATCCGTAAAAAGCTCAAATACTATTCTACCCATAGGCAGTCCACCGACTTCGATGTCAAAGAATACCCTCGTATTTATGTTCATCATGATGAAAGGATCTATGAATTACCTGTAAATTTTGATACTGATACAAAAAAAGCATTTATAAGAAAACATCTAAAGAACCTAGCATATTGTTAAACCTCAAAATAAAATTTTGTTGCAATATGGAAAAATATACATGAGTAATTATTAAATATATCTCTCTTTTTTTCTTTCTGTATGTACAGAGTGTATGTACATATCGGTTTCTTTTTCAATAAATTATGAAAAAAATGAAGTTTATATAATATCAATATACTGACAAAATAACGCCAACAGATTGTTTTAATAATTATTAATGCATGCTCGCGTTCTTCGGCGTAATTAGCAATTTTGTTTCGTATATTTAAGGATAGTCTCTCTTATATATATACGCTCTTACGTATCACTTCAAAAAGATGCAACAATAATAATAACTCGAAGAAACAACAATACATAAGTGACGATTATGCATACACCCGTAGAAATTCCGGAAAAAGTTGAACGAAGGTTAAAAGAAATTTGCAAAAATCATTGTGCAAACAATAGCTTCTAGAACTACATATGCGATAGCGACATGACGCGGTGACGCGTGGCTCTCTGTACTTATAGGAGCGGCCGACTCGTAATTCGGCGGATTTCCCAGAATCCGAGTCCCGACCCTCACTCCTATATGCCGTTGGTGGGCCTTTTCCCATTACGAGTAAACGAATGAATAAAATGATAGTCACAAGTTTAAAAGCCATTTATAATTTAATTCTCTTGAAAAAATAAATTAGATGATAGCCACTTACTTGAATTTCGTTGGAGCACAACTCGATTGCGTTTGGAGCACTTATCTATTATCTATTATTTATTATTTATTACGACGAAATATATAGATAACACTTGATTAATATGTATGTTACAACTTTCACGAGAATACGTAATAGCGATATATACACTATTCAGCACAATTTAGTATCAACGATCATTTACGATTTACGATGTTCGCCTTTCTGCTTTCTGCATTTCTGCTATCGGATTCTCTTACGTCTTAAGCCCGTATCAGACTATGCATTGAGATTGAAATTTGACCAATCAGGACAAGGAAATTTTAGTTCCTTTTATCCTGATTGGTCAAATTTCAATCTTCAATACGTAGTCTGATACGAGCTTAAAGAGCATTCTACAATGGCAGTAACAAGGC